TGAGGCTGTATTGTGTGAACCAGTTGCCTTGAAACCGCTCTGGATGTTGGATCATCTGGGTCATGGTGTCATCAGAGACCTTTCAGTGGGTCTTGGCTGGTAAAACCTGATGTATCTTAATCTGGAACAAATCCACAGCCTCTGGTTTTCTGTGGAAACAAAAGCAGAACCTCTTTTCCAAAGCAACATATCCTTAAATCCAAATTTTGAAGTCAAGGTACCTTTAAAATATACATATTGGTTTAATTCAACATCTTTTTCGATCAAATGTTTTTTTGCAGTTAAAAATCCCAAAAACAACACAATCCAGATTGTCTGTGTAATATTCATCTTTACGTGGCTTTTTTATATTAATTTATCTTTTTTTGTCTCTTTCAAACCTACGTATTGTGAATCTATTGCTTTAAACTGCAGTATTCTAAGACTGAACCAGCGCTATGGCTGCTGGCTCTGCCCATTTCAGCTTACCAATATGGTGTTTTCTGCCAGTTTTGTGAGTCATCGAGTCTCAGAAATAATGGGTCTAAGCTTTTATCAAAGCATGTGTAGCCCAGAAACCTTTTATTTTTTTTAATACTAGTAAAGACTAAATCTACCACATAGCGTAATGTGCCGCTGGCAGATACCTCATTCCCTCCATACTGCCAGAACGGAGTGGGGGGTCCCCTAGCACAGACCAAACAAATAAATCTTATTGAGAGATTGTAGCTATGTAAACTAGATATGTTTTAATGTATTCAAATTTGATACTTTGGACATGTGGGTGTACCCTTGAAGGCAAGAGAACAGGAAGTCACCATCAAAAGCTTCCTTAGCTGTCTCTTATTTCTATTAAGGTAAGAGCATCTAACATAGACCACAGCACAGCTGTATGTGTAGAGTAGCATGTGGGCCACTGTGGGCACAGTGCATCACTGCAGACCTAGCATTGCATCATCCACGTAACTGCCTCTGAGTAGCAAGTGCTCATTTCCCCTCCCTCCAGCCCCTGGAATCTTACAAACTCCTGCTTCTTAGAACTGTGCTGTGCTTTAAGCCTCATCTGAGTGAAACCAAAAATTGTGGTCCTGGTTCAAGTTTGTTTCACTTGGCATTCTGGGAATCAAAGGCATGACCCACTACCGCCCAGCTCTTAGGATATTTGCACTCCTGCCACACTACAGTGTCCCTTTCTCTTACATTCATTAACTTTGGGGCTGTTGAGAGCTTTTGTACTTTCCCATCCATGGTCATGTTCATTCTGAGAACTTGGTGATGGTCTGCCTTCTGAGCTGAAGGGACTGTGAATCTTAGGTAAACATTATGTGAGAAACAGCTGTGCAAAAGAAATGATGACCTTCTTTTCATTTTCCTCAGTCTGTATTGAGCACATGGTTGTGTAAAAAGACTAGATAATGTACAGAGATGTTAAAGCTTCAGCCCTATTAGATTCCTTTACATCAATAGAAGAAATCACTCACAGATTGAGATAAAATATAGCTATGTGTCTGGATATTATGCTTTCCATCTTGTCCTTTGAGAATTGTGCCATTTCTTCATGTTTCTTAATTCACATTTTCAGTGGATGTTAAAGGCTGACTGAATTCTTTAGTTGTGTGTGTGTGTGTGTGTGTGTGTGTGTGTGTGTGTGTGTGTGTGTAAGTATTATGGAGAGAAAAAAATGAAGGAATTGAAAGGAAATGTGCTTCCACCATAATTTAATTCTGCTTCATCTTTTACTTTATACTGAAGATGCTGGTAGAGGAAAATTGATGTTTCCATTTCGTTAATGAGTCAGATGAGCTGTTATTTTCTAAATAGCAATTGAAGGAATAATATATGTAGTCAACATGAGGCCTTTTTTATATCATAAATTTCAATATTTATTATTTATAGCCATTTTTAGTTATATCTTTTGTTAATTTTAGTTTTTCAGTATAGTCAAGAAAATGATGAACTACAGAAAAATCTAAACAACCTCAATCAAAGATATATCACCATGCAAAATAACAGCAGATTGAATGAAACTTCGAGAAATAAGTCTACATGGTGTGATGACTTCAAACATCAGAGGGACCCAGACACTCTCAATAGAAAACAGAACAGATGCTGTGGGAAAACTAAGGTTGTTTTAGATTGTGTACAGCACACAGGTAAGAAGGAAATATTGAATAAAGAATTGCATTATTCTGTATTGATTCTTGTCTAGAAGATTTGAAGACCAGTTAGCAGCTAACAATGCTGGTGATCCCTAAGCAAATGGGTGGGGTTTCCTTGTCTCATGGAGGGTCCGGGAACCCTGGAAATCTCTGTGTGGATTGTGAAAATCTTAGTTTCTAGAACTCAGTGGCCATCCTGTCTCCCACTGCTCCAGGGAATGGAGCTCAGTCAGCACAGCTGAGAACTCAGGTCGTTTTCATGAGGGGTCAAATCTGAGTCCCCATTTCTTTTGTTGACAGAATGTGGAAGTTTCCAGTAAGAGAGTATTTACAAAATTCTTAGGGTGAAATGGACTTAAAGCCTTTACATGGATGCAGTCATAAAAATGTGTGTGTGTGTGTGTGTGTGTGTGTGTGTGTGTGTGTGTGTGTGTGTATGTGTGTGTGTTTTCCTTCTGTCTTGGTATCAGAGAGCTGGCCTGTTTCTGACCATAGTGAAGCTCACTGCAGCACACATGGGAGCTTCTCCATGGAGCCCATACTGGTGAATCTCTGTCACTGAATGACACAGAGATGAAAATTTCAAGTGTTACAAGGAAACTTTCTTTCCTTGCATCATGGTTGTTTAACATTAATTGACACAGTTTATCATTCATTATTAAGAATTTATTCAAAAGTTAATGTACACAAAGAACTCTTGAATATGATCTCACTGTGCATGATAGCAGGGGTTGACAATCTTCATTATTCAAGGACTAATAATATCTTTAAAAATGGTAAAATCTAAAATATGTGACAGAGAAAAAGATAAAGTCCAAAAATAGTCATTGAGGCATCCCAGACTCATCAAAAATGTTTTATATTATTATTTTAGAATGAAATAACTACCATCTCTAAGTGGCAGCATGATTCTGCAATGCTTGTGATTAAAACACTGAGACAGGAGGATTGCAAATTTGAGGACAGTCTAGGTGTCCAGCAAATTCCAAACCAGCCTGAACTACAGAGTGATGATACCTCTCCTCAGAAAAACAACAGTTGGACATAAAGGTTTATTAATAGAGAACGGAGTGGGGGGTCCCCTAGAACAGACCAAACAAATAAATCTTATTGAGAGATTGTAGCTATGTAAAGTAGACAGGTTTTAATGTATTCAAATTTGATACTTTGGACATGTGGGTGTACCCTTGAAGGCAAGAGAACAGGAAGTCACCATCAAAAGCTTCCTTAGCTGTCTCTTATTTCTATTAAGGTAAGAGCATCTAACATAGACCACAGCACAGCTGTATGTGTAGAGTAGCATGTGGGCCACTGTGGACACACTGCATCACTGCAGACCTAGTATTGCATCATGCATGTAACTGCCTCTGAGTAGCAAGTGCTCATTTCCCCTCATTCCAGCCCCAGGGATCTTACAACCCTCTGCTTCTTAGAACTGAGCTGTGCCATAAACCTCATATGAGTGAAATAAAAAAGTATGGTCCTGGCCCTAGTTTGTCACTCTTTGCATTCTATCTTCAAGTTCATCCACGCTTCTCTGAAAGTCTTTCTTGTAGACTTCTGAGAAAGGGAAGTTATTGCAAAGGCTCTGCTGTCTCATTAGTAATGAATCAGCTCATAACAGGACACTTAGTCCTGACAATTAGTGAGCAGCAGTCAGGAGTCATCTGGAAGACTCTTACTACACAGTTGGTCACTTAGGTCAGGATTTCTCTTTAGGGGATTAGATGTGAAAATGGTTTCATTCTGTAGCCCAGGCTGCCTTGGAACTCACCATATATAGCCAAGGCTGGACTGGAATTCACTGCTTAACCTAGGCTGATCTCAAACTAGAGGTGAACCTCATGCCTCAGCCTATGGAGTGCTGGGCTTGTAGGCAGACATAAGTCATCATGCCCGGTTAGATTTCTTCCCTGTCAAGGATAAATAGTAATCCTTTGTGTGTATATGATACATTTTTCTCTATTGATCATCAATAATAAACACTTAAATTTTATCCACAGCTCTTTTATGAACAGTACTGCATAGAAAATGGGTGTGCAGAGGTCTCAGCATTCTAGTGTCTCAATTTTTTGAGAGCTGTGAGATTTCACTTAGTTATAGATGTATAATAAATACATTCTTCTGTAGCACAAATCCTAATAGGTCTTATAATGGAAACCCGAAGACATATAGTAAGGTAAATGCTGAAAGATCAGAGGAAGCAAGCCACAGCCACTTTTTACCTCACCAACTCCTCAGCTAAAGGGGGAAGATCCTGTCTCCATGAATCCTCAGACTGAATGCCTCTGAGTCTTATCGCCACTTGCCCTATATTCTTTTCTCTGCCCAGCCATATCTCACCTGCCTCAACCTTCCTAATGCTGGGATAAAAGGCATGTGACTTCCAGGTACTGGGATTAATGGTGTGAGCCATCACTGCCTGGCTCTGTTTCTCTTTTAGACTGGATTAATCTCTTGTAGTCCAGGGTGGCCTTGAAGTCACAGAGATCCATCTGCCTCTGCCTATAGAGCTAGGATTAAAGGTGTGTGCCACCACTGCCTGGCCTCTATGGCTAACTCTATGACTAGCTCTTCCCTAGATCTTCAGTCAAGCATATACAAAATATCACCATAGTCCTAATAATAGAATGATAGAAAAAAAATCACCATTGTCTTATCTGTTGTAGGGAAGCATGTTGAAGGACACTTGTTCTGCTGCGGCATAAAATGTTATTATTTCATCATGGACATGGACCATAAACACTGGAGCGGATGTAAACAGACCTGCCAGGACTGCAGCTTATCCCTTTTGAAGATAGATGATGATGATGAACCGGTACCATAGATTCTTACATGCTTCTTTATTCTTAGACTCCTTCTCTTACCCTTGATAGTGAAATAGTGAGCCCAGATATTTAAAAAAAAAAAAAAAGAGTCCTTCAGCAGTTGTATGTGTTTTTCCTGTAATTCAAGGAAAAAATCATACAGCAAGAGTTTTCCAGTCCACTCCTTCCTACTTCCTATTTAGTGTTAGGACACAGGTTGTTATAAGGAGACTCATTACTAAGGAGACAGTCCTGTCTTTGCAATCTCCTCCCTTTGCCAGGAATCTGTGAAAGAATCCTGGAAAGAAGCATATTTTACCTGAATAAGTTTAGTCCTTTGGTATAGCACATCTTGTGACTGACAGTTATGTATCTCCATAGAGTGTCAACTGCACCAAGAGAGGCCACGGTCTAGGGTTTGCTCTTCGGAACCCAGAAGTGAGATTGTCTGAGATGAGTAACTGGATGACAATAGAGAAAGTAACTGAGCTCTGGGCCAATCTGCAAAATGGAAATTATATAAGAACCAGGAATTAAACAGTTTTTCCTGTTAGTTGATTTTCACTGAATCTGCCCATAATATTTACTTCCTAATATTCTTATATTTCATAAAAAATCTATCTTTGGAAATGAACATTTAAAGGGGAGCAAGTGGCCAGAATCCTGACATTAACTGTTTAGTATTATTACTAAAAAGTTTCTTCAAATACATAGAGGGTATTTTTCTAGAGAAATGGTTGAATAATCAGCTTGAAAACTTTATCATTTAGAATATGATGCACAATTTCTTCACCAATTTAATACATGTCTGAATAATTATAGCATAAAATAAATCTTAATGTCAAGTAATGATATAATTTTTCATTTGATACAGTAAACATGGGTAAATTTAAACTTAATATATTCAGTAATTTTATTAGGTATCATTCCACTCATGTGTCACATGTAAGACACACTCTTTACTTCCAAGTATCTCACACTTCCTCAAGTTCTGTCACTTTTGATCTAAGTAACAGCATGGCTTCATTGCTGGAACATGGAGGATAGCACACAGCTTTTCACAGTGGACTTGGACTTATCACCTGGATTAATTAGTTTTTTTAGACAAGGGGGTCTCTTAAGTTGAACACTCCCCGCATGCTTCTGTGGTCTTCTAAAATGTCTATTTGAATAATTTCATAAAGTGTTGGGCTTACTTAAGGAGCCAGGGTCTGAAGCTGGGAGACTGAGTTCAATGTCTACATTGGCTACACAGTAATACTTTCTCTGAGAAACACGGTCACAAATCATTTCATGAATCCAGTATCTCTAGCCACCTGAAGTTTTCATTTTAAATAACTTATGTAACTGTCATGGGGGGGGAGTTACATAAAGGAGCTACTACTGGGAAATCACTTTAAAAATGAACTTGGAGGGACTGAAGGGCTGGAGGACAGGACAGCAGAGAACTGACATAAGAATAGCTGGGGCCTGTTACTCTGTTCTTTTCTTACCAGACAGACATTTTATCAAAATATGTGTTATTTCCCTTACAGAAGTTCTTACAGTCCCAGGTTACTACAAACAGATACTGGATTGGATTAAAATATAATGGAAGCAAAGGGGAATGGCAATGGATTGGAGATGTCCCATCTAAACTGTGAGTTTCCTGAACCCTCATACTCTAACACTGGTGCACAGTTGGGAGGGTGTCATGCAAAGGCTTTTCTCTCGTTTCACATGGCTTTCCTCATTTTCTATGGAGCTCACAGGTCAGGACAAGATGCATCAGACAGTGTTTGAGCAAGTGTTAGTCAGGGAAGAGAAACGGTTTAGAAGCTGACTGCTAGTGACGTAATACTGAACACAGCTCAGGGTTGTGTGTTCTAAGATGCAGAGGGCACAAAAAACCAAAGCTTAAGATCATGTGATGTAACTTGATCATCATGAAAGATATTATGAGTGTATCTTAAACATACACTTGACTTGTTTCTGTAGTTACCTTATTTAATTGTTAATTTATAAATATAAAAACACAATATATATGCAATGCACATCTACTTTTCATTTCAAGGTTGCTGTAGTCTATAAGCTCTAAATTTGTTCATTTCTGACCTGGTAGAAAACTGTTCATTGGTTTTCTTTATTAATACCATTTCTAAAAAATCTCATATATATACAGAATGAAATATGATCATATCATCCCCTACTTGCCCTCTCAACCTTCCCCTGGCTGTACCTAAGGTGTTCCCATCTAACTCATGTTTTCTTACTTGATGCTGTCCACTGGTGTATGTTTGTAGGCCATCTACTGGAACAAGGATACTTCCCAGTGGCCACAACCTTAATAAAGAATGTGTCTCTCATTTCCAGTAGCAGTCACCTAATACTAGCACATTAAGAGATAGAGGGCCCCTCCCCAACTATGCTGGAATTTTGGCTGGCTTGATCTTGTTCAGGTCTCATATAGGTGACCACAGCTGCTGTGAGTTTGTGAGTAGGAAAGCCTTGTCATGTCCACATTGCAGGATTTCACAGAGCTTTTCCTCTCATCAGGCTCTTACATTTTTTCCATTTTTCTCTTCCCTGTGGTTCCCTGAGTCTTGGGATGGTGTTGAAGGGGAGGGAGTTGAAGATGTCCCCGTAGAGCTAAACACATTTTCTCTTCCCTTCTGAACTTTGACTAGTTGTGCTACTCTGTACTGATTACAGACTACTGCAAAAGAAGCTTCTCTGACCAAGGTCGAGAGCAGCCCAGATCTAGACCGTAAACACATGTACTAAGAGTACAGTTTGAGTACATGCCCACTTATCAAAGTGATTGTAGCAGTGTCCACACTATGGCCCTTGACCTCCACAATCATGGGCTTTTCATTTGGATTACAATAGCAAAGATGAAATCACTTATGTAGTAAAGATCTCAATTCTAATAAGAAAACACTTAATTATCCTATAACCACTGGGCACATCTTGCCTGTCAGGTCAGTATTGAACCATGCAGTCCCCAGTGCTGAGTAAGACCATTCATATCTCTTCTCCCCCAGTGGCCTATAAATCACCTTCTCGTCCTTTAAAAAATATCTCAAAGAAAGAAGTTTCCTGGTTGATTTGAAATTGATTTCTCTATGTTCTGACATCAAAGTGTGTGGTGTCTTCAGCAATCAGGTCTTACCATGTAACCATGTAGTTATTGTTGGTAACCAAAGGTAATGGCAATATGCTGTACTGGTGTGGAGACCTATGTAGTCTTGCTAACCAATAATTCCTCTGGATGTATCCCCTGCTTTATACTTTGATTTTCATTTAATAATTCATATTTTCTGTGGTTCTAACTCTTTTATGGTTATATTTTCCTTTTCAATTTCATTTTTCAATTGAATATATTTTGATCAGCTTTCCCACCCTCTGACACCTCCCACATCCTCCTCACCTCTCTACCCACCTAAAGTCAAGTTCTTTCCTTCTCTCTCCTCAAAACAAAGTGAAAATAAAATAAAAAAGCACCCAATCAGTTAAAAAATATTTAAACACACACACACACACACACACACACACACACACACACACACACACACACACCAAACCATCAAAGGAACAAAGAGTCTACTTTGTGTTGGTCATATGCAAGCTTATTAACTAGTAGGTGTCCATAAGGCCTTTGATAAACCCTTAGTTTTGGTTAACCCACTGTTGATCCTCTCCTGTTCTTTATCCCAAGTACTATCGACATTTGATGTCTTAAGTCTCAGAATTGCTCCCTCTGTTTTCATATCACACATTACCATTCCTCCTGCTTGTTGATGGTTTTAAAAATACTAATATTGAAATTTCTATCACAGGAATTCTGTATTTGTCCAAAAATAACATTGGTACGCATGCGTGCATGTGCGCGCTCGTGCGAGTGTGTGTGTGTATGTGTGTGTGTGTGTGTGTGTGTGTGTGTGTGTGTGTGTGTGTGCGTGTATTTAAAAACGTTTATTATCTAACTCCTAGAACATGACCATTCAAAAACAAATAAAAACCGAAAAATACAGGGTTTTTTTTGGGGGGTGGGGTTGTCTTTTATTTTCTATTTTAAAAATTTGTTGCTGGGGGATAGGGGTACAGGCCTTTAGTCCCAGCACTTGGTGGTAGAAGTAGGCAGTTCTCTGTGAGTTCAAAGCCAACATTGTTCACAAAGGAGTTCCAGGAAAGACAGAGCTGTTACACAGAGAAATCTGTCTTGAAAAACCAAAAATAAATAATTAATTAATTTTTTACAGTTTAGCCACAGTCTTCTCTTCTTTCTTTCTCTCCTTCCTTTCAGCTCTTCAGTTGAGCTTTCATAATTGATAATAAGTCTCATGACAATGATAATGAGTCATTGTTGGGGAGCTGATTGCCCAAAACAAAAGTCCATCTACTGGTGCCAAAAGTCACCACCAGTATCAGAGAAAGCCCCTGCTCTCGCTGTTAGGAGATCCACAAGAAAACTAAGCCACACAACTGTCACATATATGCAGTGGGCTTAGGTCACTCCCTGAAGGCTCCCTGGTTTTTGGTTCAGTCTCTGTGAGTCCCTGTGAGCTCGGGTTAATTGATTCTGTGGTTTTCTTGTGCCATTCTGACTCTCACAATCATTCCTTCCCCATTCTACAGGATTCCCCAGGGTCTTCCTGAGGTTTGACTGTGTGTCTCTTCATGTTTCCATCTGTTGCTGGGTGATCCCTCTTTGGTGGCAATTAGGCTAGACAACAGCCCATGAGTATAGCAGGATATTATTATGAATCATTGGACTGACTTTGTTCCCCAGTAATGTTCAGTCTGTCCTGGGTCTCTGTACTGTCTAGCCTCGGGGTCCTCATGTAAAACCCTCATTCTAAGGAAAAACTCCGCCCCTTCCTCTCTCTCTTCCATCTTTTTCCTCCAAGGAATATGCACCCCTGATCCCCCTCTCTTTCTTCTTCTTCTTCTTCTTCTTCTTCTTCTTCTTCTTCTTCTTCTTCTTCTTCTTCTTCTTCTTCTTCTTCTTCTTCTTCTTCTTTTCTCCTTCTCC